CCACCTCCTGACTTCACAGCAACAACCACTGGGGATTCCCAGTTAATATAGGGGAACCACATTGTTTCTGTGGGATGTCAGTATTGTTGTAGAGTGGTTTGTGGAGCTTCTCCTCTGACTGGTCACTGGAAGAGCTGGGAGGTGTCCGTTTATGCCAAGCACTCTTAAATGTAGGGTTATTTTTATTGAGAAGAATACTTTTAGGGCGAACAGCAGTTTACAATAGCTGCCTGTCACAGATCTGGTCCCTGCTTGTGTTTGCTGCAGGTGACTCTCATCGTTCATTTTGCAGGCACAATTACTTCTGGCTGAGGTGGGTCTGTGAAACAGGAGGCTGAACTCATGCTGGAGGTGGCTTGGGTTGAATTAAGTCTACAGAATTTGTAGACATAGAAGAATCTGTCCTTGAGCTCCCTTGTTGCTAACTGCAGTAGTCCTTTTCTGTATATGTGTGCAGTGGAAGGCACTAATATTTTAATTTGTATATGATCACACACTTCATGTCCTTAATAGGATTCACCAATAATATAATGAGTGCTGAAGGCAAATTATCCATAACTGTGTATTCTTCTGTGCTAGTGTTTTTTAGACAAATAGGTTGATTACTTATAAGAGAATATTTGATCATCATCTATGAGTACAGCTTTCTGAACCTTGGGCTGAATTTCTACACAAAGCCCTGCTGAGAAACAGGGATTTCAATGGGTTGGTATGGACCCTTCAACAAACTGTTGCCCTGAAGGAGTTGCTGTCAGCTATTGGTGTGGGTCAATCAAGCCAGCCAGCTGAGGGAAAGATTCTGCTAGGAAGAACGTTCCTGCATGTAATTGTACCATGGCCCTGGAGAGCAAAACAAAAGGCAACAGGTTACTCCATTTTTACAGTAAGTATGTGCAAAATTTAGTGGTTATCAGGGATATAGAATCATTGACCAGAATTTGTAGCTTGTTGATATGCTTTTAATGAAGTATCCCAACAGAAGTCTCAAAGCAGCAGGTACTTCAGTCAGGGTGCTTAAAAATCATGTCAGAAAGTTGGCTGGCTACCTAAGGGAATTGGGAATATGATACAATGTTATGATGAGTGTTAAAGAAATGAACAATAAATGATCTTGAAAACCAACACATATTAAGCAAGCACCTTTCTCAGGCCTTGGAACTAATTTAGTAAAGCTGGGGAAAAAAATTAAGGTTGGCACTTGGTAAATTTATATGCAAAGATTTTTTCCAAGCTTTTATTGGGGTATTATTGCTTCATTTATTGAATATTTCAATATCTTCATTTGCCTTCATAAATCTGTTGTATACATTGAAAACAATCATAGTGTCAGTAGTGTGGTTTTGGCAGAGGTGTCAGAATTGGGCAAACATTGTTCATTTTGTTTTTCTGAATCATGTTATAATATACTAGAGTACTTCTTCCCCCTGTTTGTAGCAAGGTTTGTCATGTAAAGAGACACTACTTTATTTTCTGGGAGGAGAGGTCATTGCTTCAGCAAGTGATGATCAAGGTCTTTGCTTCAGCACCCACAATTCTACACTCACATACGTGTCTTTGGAGTTTCCTGCACCAGTGTGTGTGTCTTCATTACATGTTCTCCTTTTCTCCATAACAGTCAGACAAGAGAACTCTCTCATCATTCAGACTGAAAGAGGAATGATGAAAGTTGATGATCCAGATGTAGACGAGAAAAATGAGAAGGGAATTTTCTTTCATGCTGCAACCAAGAAAGAACAAATTGGCTCTTACTTTCATTCAAATCATTTAAATTCAGCGAGTCACATTGAAAACTGACCCAATCTCAGGAAGAAATCTCACTGTAAACACGGACAACCATTTTGTGTCAATTTTACTACACATTCTAGCAGATTCAGCACAAAGGCCTTGTCTTCTGTCTGCATAGAAGGTGTCATCAAATACAGTAGTTCAGATATGATCTAAACTGAACAGCAGCAGGGGTACCTGTATGTCTCTTGGGCAGAAGAAGAACCCAAGTGAGGACCATGTCTTGGTGCGAGGGAGTGTGAAGGAAGAATGTGTGTGTCTGTAAGTGGAAGGAATGATGGAAGGTCTGTCTTGCCTAGCCAAAGGGTCATTTGGGGGCATTTTTTCTGGGCATTTTGAAAGAAAAAAACCAGGCTTGATGGATTTTAAAATCTACTTTTAGGGTGTGTCTAAAAGGAAGGTTGTTTTTGGAACCAAAGCTAAACTTTAGGAATCCAGAATTAAAGGAATAGAGGTGGAGTACAGGGAGAAGTTACAGAAATGTTCAGCCCTTGTCATATGTTCAGGCTGACTCTGTCAACACCTTGTTTTCATCAGAACTACTAGTAATTTGAGTAATTTATACAATTAGTTCTTGATATGTGCATACTTTGGAGTAGAAAAACATTCCTAATGGGTCAACTATGTTTTTAGTTAACTGTGATTAGGTAATATTTTTTCCTATGTATGGCCAGAGTAATTTCTTTTTACTGTATTAGTAACAAATCTCCCCTTAAAATTTATGTACAAAACCCCAAAAGACATTATAGTAAACAGTACACAGTGTCATTAGCTCTTACACCAGAAAATCATAAAATAGAGGCTATAAAAAAGGGACCAGCATAATAATTTTTATCTGTGCTTCTTGTTTCTATGACTGACCAATATGACCACAGGAGAATCCTTTAACCTGTCCTGCTGCAGTAACGAGGCAAGCTTAGTACTTGTCCTGAGCTTAATTTGGCTTAATAATTTTCTATACAGATCAGTTTATTTAAATACAAGGCATAACTAAAGCAAAGCCTGTTCTTAATGGTGTATTTTCTAGTGCTGAGATGATTGCTGATAGAACAAAAAAAAAAAAAAGAGAATTACAGAAAGAACACTACACAACCATCTGGAAAAATGTTTTGCACACTCCCTGTAGGCTTTATCTTCCTTACTTTCCCTCAAGGAAAGCAAAGTAAGATGTAATGGCAAACAGTAGGATATTTGGCCAATTTATGATATAGGAAGAAAGCAAAATGCCTTACTGAAAAGTAGGACAATTCTACCAAAAGTAGGGCAGCTTACTGCATGTTAAGAACCTTTGGATTATGAGTGTTGTATCATGCTTGCTTTGCACACACAATTAGTTCAAATGTGGAGCTTCCCACATGAGGTAGCTGAAGAAGATTTATCTCACAAGATAAAGCTCTAGTACCACATCAAACAGGGTCAGAACACACACCCGTCAAGAAAATAATCTGGAGAGCAGCTACAACTGGCTGAGCTCATGTGAAACGTGAAAATGTCACTGGCGCTTAGTCTAGAGGTCAAATTAGTTGAGGAAAACAGAGCAGATCAGAGATGCTGGAGCTGGTTACACAGATTAAAATTCTACACCTGAGCAGCTAAACTTGTATTTAGAATAAATGTGCAAAAGCTGTGAAGTTTGTGTGCCTTTAAGAACAAGACTATTTCAGGTTTTGGCAAAGGGTGCAAAAGTCACAGCATCCCTGAGAAGTTTTTAATTTTTTTTTTTTCCAGAATGCATGAATAGAGAAATGTTTTTTTTTTTCTTGGTGTTCCAGTGGCACTTTGAGAACAGTATTTCTAGGAGCCCTTCTCCAGAAGCAATGGATCTGTAAGCATATCACAGGCAGACTGTTTATTTACATTCTCTGAAGTAGGGTGTTTGAGTTGTTGGGCTTTGCCCTCTCAGAGGCTGTGTGTACACGGTACAGGTAAATCACTCCTGGCCAGACTTACAAAGGAGCCCAGCTCCAGAGGACAGACTGGAGCTTTGAGTTAGACTACTTAGCTTCTTACACTGCACTTGGGCAGCTACTTGGTACAGCACAGGATTCAAAGGGACAGGTACCTTGAGCATCGCCTGTGCTGGAAATAGTGGCTGCTAAGGGAAGGACACACCTTGAGTCCCTTTTAATGTTGATGAGAAGGGTAAATAGAGAGCTCAGAGAGAAACAGAGTGGTTAGGTGAAACGATTTGAAGGTTGGTAATAGTTACTTGATATCAAATGTTTGACCTGCTACCTTGAAGGGTCCAGCAGGCAGTGTGAAAACATCCATCCTGCAATTCGTGTCCAAAGTATGCCTGGGTCCTGTTTAGTTGCTAGAGCCCTTATTTGGATATACTCTGAATCTTTCTATCCCAGCAGGATCTCCTGAGGCTTGAAGCCGAGCGAGAAACACAGCATGATATAAAGACTGCTTTTCTGACAGAACTTCTGAACCTTTTTATCCTATTCCACTTAAAAATTACCTTACACAGACATAGCTGTGATTTTTTTTTTTTTTTAGGAGATATGCTGAAATATGATGTGACAGTGCAAAAAGTATGTGGGAAAGTGAAGGTGAGGGCAAATTAGCATGCAGAATCTTAATATAACTGCAGTGCACTACTCCCTTCCTTCAAAATAAATCAATGTATTTGCTAGCAGGACCTGCTTTGCCTGTCTGTCTGAAATAGTGACCTTCCAGCTTTGTTTGTGTACAGTCAAAATGATGCTGTGATTGGCAAGAAAGAATTGGCCACTGCTCCTTTATAAGGGTATCTCCAGATGTAATTTTAAAGGGAAATTTCCCTCTATCTGCATCAGAAACAAGTGTCAGCATCTAAGGACAGAAAACATTTTTTTCCCTGGTTTTAAATTTGAAAGACTTAATAAAATGAGTCAAAAAAGACAGTGGCTAGTGAGGAGAAGTCTCAGGGCACAGAGGTGGGAGTCAGTAAGATTTGAAATGCCATTTACATTTGAGAAGGGTTGCAGCCAGAAACTAAGTTTCCCTTGAAGTTTCTAAGAGAAAGAAAGAGAAGTGTGGATGTTCTCTCTCTCCAAACAAAACGCTGTGTCTGACCCACAAAGTGTCTAGCTGGGATTTAAGTAAAACAGGCAGAGCTTCAAACATCAGAACTTCCCTGTTTCTAAGCTATGAAAGGATTTGCTGTGGGGAGTGCCGATGTTCAGCTGAATATCAAAAATCATAATCTTTAATATCAATTTCCCTTCAAGGCATGAAGACTGATTCCAGGTTCTCCATCGACAGAGACATGAATAAGAAGGTTCAAGAACTGAAAATACCTATCTACAAATATCTCCAAAGACACTGAAATATGAGATGACACCTTTTCACAATCTCCTGTGTGCTGAGTGAAAACATCTTTGCCTGGAAGGGAGGAAAGTAGAGGTAGACCATGTATGAAATACGGAGACTACAGAGAGAAGCTAAATCAGATTCCTCATTTCCAGGTACTGTGCTCAAGTTACACTCATCTGCCCTAAAAATGTGAATACCTATTAGCTTTAAATCTTATATTATATTCCAGCTATACTGTCTATTAATGACTGAGACAATTGCATGGATCTGTTGAACACAAAGTGGTTACCTTTTTCAATGTGAAATTTGGTGCCTTAAAGGGATAGTGAATGGAAAGCCAGTTAATTTTTAAGTCTAATTATTCACTGTAGCCCTTTGATAACTCCATTTTAAATGGCTCTTTTTACTAGTTGAACAGTAGAAGATTAAACTTCATGAATGTGCTCATTAGTAAAATGCTGCTGAACTCTAAACCCATCCATTTCATATACTACTTTTACTATGTAGCACTGTACTAACACAGATGACTTAAATGCCTGTTAAAAGAACAGTGCCTGTACTTCTGCCACACTGACTACATGCAACAATGCTACACTGCAGGGAGAAGTGTTTGGTGCCAGGAAAACCAAATGCAAAGAGAACTGAAGTTTGCGTTAAAGCCAACTCATGGGCAAAGTAACTTAACAGCTCAACTGGAGGGATGATCACGTGCCCTTAGTGAAACAAAAAAGTGCTGGACTGCCAAAAGCATCAGTTTGAAGCTTTATGGGCTACCCTCCTGCTAAGTCTGTGTTGAAAGTACAAAGCCAGAGGAAAAGTTGGGTGCATTTTGACAAGAGTATTGTAACCCTCAAATTCTCCCTTTCATATAAAGAGTCATTCAAAGCTGTCAATTTTGGCTAGTGTCTCAGGCCAGAGAGATTATTCTGTATGTGTTTATAATTCCTAAGGTTTACAGTGGAATATGTGAGACCTTTCCACTGGCTTAGATGAAATCTGAGGAGCAGCATTATATTTTCTCTCGTTTAGGGTTTTTTTGACTTTTTACATTTTTGTCTGAGTTCATCTTTCAGTCTTTAATATTGTCTTACTGTTCTAATCAGCTAGAATGCTAAAGCTACAGAGAGATGCTACTTTGAAAACAGGTGCAACGCCTTTCACTATGGAAGTGACTGGCCCTCTAGAACTCCTAGCTGAATAAATCAAAATTTTTACCTTCAGAAAAGGATTGAGGGAGCTCAGGGGAAGTGGTTTCTTCTTTTCTTTTTGTTATGCAAACTATTTTCTAAAAAGACAAAAGTAGAAATTACCACAACTTTCGAAGGATGAATGGGAGAACTGCAGTCTCTCCAGCAAAGAGGGAAATATTGGCCATCTATCAGAAGGACTAATGTTCTTCAAATAATTGAGGAAATAGGATCAAAGATCAATTCTTTACTCTTCCCACTGGCTTTGTCTATTTATCTTTTGGGAAGGCTGCAAGGGGATTCTTCCATACAATGAGGAAGATTTACTGGTCCAAACACTTTAAAGACAAAAAAGAAGCCAAAGTTAGTATAAATGTAATGCAAATTTCTTCTTGTCCAAATACTGTGGCTTCTGAGACACTGGAGTAGCTTCATGAGGATGAGGACTTCAACAACTCCAGTAACATGCTTGTGATCTCTGAAGTGCTGTGATGACAATGAAAATACTTCCCCAGAATTAAATTACAATTGATAAAATAGCTGGAGTTTCTTGTGTAGAAGTATTTTTTTACTTAAAATTCTTAAAAAAAAAAAAAAATTAATTCTGCAACTTCTAATTTGAATAACATAAAAAAGGTTGTACCGTATAATGTCTATCTTCATCCTTCTGCAAGTGAAAGATTACCACTAGGCTCTTTTGTTTATTTAAATTAACTCATTCTAAAACTTATCCTGTTACTTTCAGGTTAATTTCTATTCACAGTTCCTCACTTTTGCAATGAGTTACTTCCAGTTCTTGTGATTTTTCAAACATGAATGCATTCATTGTCTTGGTTAGATACTAAATGATCCAGCTACAACTATTTAGTCATGGCCAGGCTTTGCAAATGAAGATTTGAGAAGGGCTCTACCCACGCTTGCTACAAGCACGCTGATGGCTAAAAAGGCCAATGCGAGACAGACAAGTCCGGTTGCAGAAGGCACAGCAGAAAGACTCCCCAGGTGATACAGACGAGACGCGATTCTTTCTGTGTTGTCTTTTCTCCTCGAGAGTGATCCTGCGTGTGTTCTCAAAAGCAGCAGCAGCATTATACATGGTGTGTCTCCAGGCCTCCCGATTGGAGGCCAGGGTAGACCAGTGGTGGTGATCAATATGGCCAAGGCTGAGGGATTGTTTCAGGCAGTCCTTGTATCTCCTCTTCGGGGCTCCTCTCTTGTGGCAGCCAGTGGCAAGTTCCCCATAGAGCACGATCTTAGGGAGGCGGTAGTCCTGCATCCTGGAGACGTGCCCTGCCCAGCACAGCTGTGTTCTCAGCAGCATGGCCTCAATGCTCGTGACTGCTGCCTGTTCAAGGACAGATGTGTTGGTCACATAATCCGTCCAGTGGATGTTTAGGATGGTACGGAGGCAGCGCTGATGGAAGCGTTCTAAGAGACGCAAGTGGTGCCGGTAAATGACCCATGATTCAGATCCATATAAAAGAGTAGACAGTACAATGGCTCTGTAAACGCTGATCTTTGTACTTCTCTTCAGGTGTTTGTTTTGCCACACTCTTTTATGGAGTTTACCATAAGCTCTGTACACCTTTGCTAACCTGCTGTCTATTTCTGCATCAATCTTACTGTCCGAGGAGATGATGCTTCCCAGGTAATTAAACTGCTGGACTGATTTGAGCTCTGATTTGCCAATGGTGATATGGGGATGATGGGAGACTTCCTGAGGTGCAGGTTGATAGAAAACTTCTGTTTTCTTCAAGCTGACTTCCAGCCCAAAAAGCTCAGCAGCCTCTGCAAAGCAGGATGTTAAACGCTGCAGAGCTGCTTCTGTGTGGGTGATGAGGGCATCATCGTCAGCGTAAAGCAGCTCACAGACAAGATGATTTAAGGTCTTAGTGGGGGCCTTCAGTTGCCTTAGATTGAAAAGGCTTCCATCAGTATGATATTGAATGTAGACACAGTTTTCATCATCGAGGTCTGCCATTTGGAGCGTCATGCTGAAGAGGACTGTGAATAAAGTTGGTGCAAGAACACATCCTTGCTTCATACCATTGGCTAGAACTATTTAGTAAGGCATAATAAAAGGTTCCATTTCTGTATCTGTGAAACTACATCAGTGCTAGGTAGTTTCACAAACACATTGAAATCATCTCTGATTTGAGTAGAGGTTACAGAAATTAGAGCTTGTTAAAAATGAGTGTTCTTTCTAGCCAGCCAAAATCTCCCAGTCCACAAGGATGTAAACTATCGTACATACAATACTTCTTCTGCTGAGCATGATATTACTTATTACTAATTATACTCTCCTCTTAGCAAGAATGATTCTTGCCTAACTACATTACACCTAAGGACAATGGGCTTACTGCAGCGAGCAGAGATTCAGTTTTAAGGGGTTTAATGGTGTGAAGAAATTAAAGAACCATGGACTACAGCTCTAGTGAAATTTTGGGCCTCTGGAAATCCTTTTCTCAGCAAGTGTTCCCCACTATTTTTAGAGTGTCCATTCACCTTGTAATTCCTTCCTTCCTTATTTTTGGTCTCAAAGGGATTGCTTTTAGGTCATAGGAGTGGTTTGCACACTTCTATCCTGGAAAGTGTTCAAGGCCAGGTTGGATGGGGCTCTGAGCAACCTGGTCTAGTGGAAGGTGTTCCTGCCCATGGTAGGGAGGTTGGGACTGGATGAACTTTAAGGTCCCTTTCTGCCCAAAACATTCTATGATTCTATGATATGCCTAAGGAAAAAAAACAGTGCCAAATATGCAAATTGCAAACAGGTGTCAAGATATCTTACTTTTTTTTCCCAGCACAAGGGAGAGATTCCCAGTACAGTGAAGAAAGCTCATTATAGAGAAGAAAAGTGGGATCTGTTGACAGAAACTACAGTTTGAGTGCCATCAAACATACCTTATTCACTTTCCTCACAGTCCTCTTTCACATGACTGCTCTTCAGGATTTCACTTTCAAATAAGTATTTGGCACTTGTATCCAAAAAGACAAACAAATATGTAGAGAAAAATTTGCCTGAGTAAGTGAACACTCCTATTCAAAATTCTGTGGCTGGATGAATGGATAACTGACAACAGTGATGAATAAATAGTGCCTAGGCCTGCCAAAACCCAGCATTAGAAAGTATAAACAAAGCAGTACTGAAAACAGATGGATTCATTTTAAGTTTTATCCTTTTTCAGTCAAGGGATGCTAATGAGGCAACTTCACTTTGCACCATGATCCTGACACACTGTGTGCCAACACCAGCGAGGAGATGGACCGACACAGGGACTGAGCTGCCTTTCCTCAGGGCTAAGTAATTATTACCAAAACTACTAAAAAAGCACGGATCTTCCTGCTGAATAATGACAGAAGTGAGTTGCAACAGGCATCAGATCTATGCAATTCCAGTAATTAGGTATTTGTGAGTATTTGCACTGGACTAATTGCAGAAAGCTAAAACCTGGTGATCTGATTGCTGGGGAGGAGAAAGGTTGCTGAGATGAACTGAAATCTGGTAAGATTTTACAGGCATGGGAACTGCTCCATCAAATCAGACCCGTTGCCTGTTTACTTTGATGATGGCCAAAACTCTGTGGGTATCAGAGGCAGGTGCAGTCTGTTCGGCAATTGGCAGCAATGCGATATGGCAACTTCTTCCTGAGGAAGTCAGTCTTTTAACTGCTCCTCTCAGGACCCAAAAAACAAAGGTTGTCATGAAAAAAAAAAATATAGCTTATGGGAGTTTCAATTTCGAACTGGCTAAAACAAATTTTAAATGTAACAAAGTTACACTTGAAATAAAACTCCGGATTTGAAAATTATGTATATTTGGCAAGCTCTGGTCCAAACACCCAAAATGTAATAATATATGGACAAAAAGCCAAGAAAAACATGTCTTTTTCTGCCTATGTGGATTTGGATAAAATTTCTAGAAGGAAATTATAAGAGTAATAACCTCTCCTGATGACAATTGCTTATTCTTGAAGTTCACAGGGGAACTTTCTAGTGATGGGTCTCAACTTTCTGGTGGTCTCAAACTCCTCAGAGCCTGCTGCTGCCTACTGCAGCTTGCCTCCTCCCTGTGCTGCACCTCTGTGTCTCCTTCTCCCCTGTGCCTTTGATGCTCTTTCCTGTTGGAAGAGAAATTGTTTCCCTGTTTTGCTGTGCAGCTTTCTCCTTGTGCCACTGTTGGAGTCAACAAAATTGTTCCTATTTAAAAAAAAATAAGTCTATTATATAGCAGTGACGTATCCAGCCTGTGCTGCTAACAGATGAAATATCTTCTGACACAGCTATGTAACGTCACTTTTCACACATATTTTCCCTTCAGGCATTGTGAAAACTGCTTCTAACCTTTGACCCTGTTCTGGGAAGCTCATGTGTGACCCAGGTATAATTATGGCCTTCACAGCCATTAGTGCTGGGATCTGTGTTGGGACACCTGCGAGCTGGAATGTGTCTCACCTGTTGAAATAAATATTTTATGGCTGCATGAAAGGTAAAGGAAATATATAGCTGCTAGATTATTTCAAAGAGAAGCCAAGAAAAACCAAGCTTGTGACTTCTCAGCCAGAAGGAAAATTAAATTATAAAACAAGAGCATTTGAAAACAAAAACCATGATGCTCCCTGCTTTCTCCTACACTTTCCATGACATATAACCCACCTTCAGCACATTTGGTTACCTTGCAAGCGTTGTTATAAAGTAAGCTATTCATATGTATAGGTACGCACTCATATATATTTGAAGTATAATTTCCTACAATGATATTGTAGTACTGTTACTGCTGAATGAAGAACTGACCCTCATTTTTTTGACTGCACAAGAGCAAGAGGCCTAATGGCTTCTTCTGTGATTAGATATATTTGCTGAAAGGAGTTTAATTACATAATAACATTGCTGCCTTCTGCTGTCATTTCTTGGGTTATCTATCATCTATTTCATTGGAACAAATTCCCAAAAGAGTTCTGGTATTCAAGATCATTTCCTAATCAAATACGGTCATTACTAATGTAATTTCCATTACCCTATGAGGGGGGAGGACATGTTTATTATTGTTCATTCCATGGAGACTTTGAAATCAAAATCATATCATACTCCCATTTCCCATCCTCCCCTCTCCTTGATTCGGTTTTGTCTAGTCACTTGGAGAATGCCTTCATGCTTGTACTTTCTTACCAAGCAAATTGTATTATCAAATATATATTATTTGTTGACCAACAGTGGGTGCTTTGGGAGATTGCAGATACCATATTCATCACCCCAGCTGGTGAGTCTGCTTGATTGTTGTTACAATTTTGTCGAATTAGGTGGCCCACTGGTTTTCCATCAGCCACAAGATGATAATAGTCATGTAAGGCGAGCAATCACTAAGTTTCCTAGGCATGGTCCACCCATAGGGAATATTCCTAATTTAAAGAAGCTATAACTGCCAGTGTATATAGATTTTTTTTTCTTAAACATTTCTGACTTCAGCTATCAAGTGAAATAATAAATGGTATTCCCTCTTGTTCTTGTTCAGGGACTGTGCCTAATCCTGGAATTACTGACATCTGTATATCATTTGAATGGTAAATTACAGCTGGGACATGCTAACCCCAAAGTGTGAGTAAGAACTGCTCCTAAGTGATTGGAAACTTCTTGGCACTATATAGTTGCTTTATAGTAATTAGCTTGGTCTTCATTCTCTTTTGATAGTTTTGTAAATTTTGTGCTATTTTCTTAGCACAAGACTTGATTGTTCAATCAGCAGAAGAATGGTCTTTCTGGTAAAAATTAGATTTCAACTAAACCTCATTTTGTGTTAATTGCCCTTTCTTATTGACAGCTTCCTCTCCTGCTCCCCTTCCGCCCCCTCCCAGTATAAGCAGAGGAATGATGGAAACCTGGAATTAACATTTCCATGGAGATGGTGTAATTTCCTGAGTTGCTACAAAATAACTTCAATTTCAAAACTCTTCTAACTGCTAATTTGAGGAAACGGGTAATAAATAACACAAGTACATTAATGGCTAAAATATATTATCTCATTTCAGATATCTTAGGCCCAGTTGTCTAATAATGCATTCTGTGATCGCCTAACAAGAGACTGAGCACAAGAAATACAACAGTGCAACTCCAAATTTGTGCTATTTATGTCTGTTGCCAATAAATAATATTAGAGGAACTGTTTATACATCTGTTAAAAGCTACTCTCCTTGAAAACAAAGATGAATAATGACTTTATCATTTGGAAGACGGTGGTAAAACTCTATAGAGGTTAGAAACTGACTTTATTTCTCAAAACTGATGGTTTTCAGGCCTTATATCCATGTCATGGCTGTCCAAGGAAAAGTAAAATTAGAGGTGTATTTACACAAGGTCTGATAATTTAAATAACAATCTATTGTTATATCTATATCTATGATTCACATGCAGCAGTGAATTTGGTCTTTGACTGCCATATTTTGTATTGTTCAGTTGGTGTAACAGTAATTATAAGATAGTTTTAGTCACCATTGGAAATGTGTTTTAATAATTCAATGCTGCTTACTGGGAGCAAGATAAAAATATCAGGACATGGAGCAGATGAATGAGATTTTCACTGGCTTCATTAAGACTGTCAAATGCTTAACTGAGAAATATTAAAGAAATTCAGGAAACTTTTAACAAATCATCTTCCTTCTTGGAGATGCCTAAACTGGAGAGTTACAAGTTTGGAAAGCTTCTGAAATTTCTCAAGAAATGATATTTTGTAAGTGTAAACTCGAATTTGAGGAACAGCAGTTAGAAGAAATAGAAATGAAAAGCTATTTTTAGAAGATGATGGTTGGATTTTATGATCTTAAAAGGATTTTTCCAATCTAGACAATTCTATGATTCTCTAAAATAAGTCTTGCTGAAATCTGTAGGATGTATTTCCATAAAGTGCTGGGAGGTTATAAAGACAATAGTTGGCTCTATCTCCAGTGATACAAGATTATATTATACACAGGTCAAAAACATTGTTTCTTCTTCTGCTACTTATTCTATTCAGTATATATGTTCTACTTTACTGACCCTCAACTATTTCTAAGTGGTTTTTAATAAATTATATTGCAGGAGACAGCTTCAAATAGTCTTTGACTCCTAACTGAAAAATCTGTACTGTCTTTAGAATGGGAGAAAAAATGTTCTAGAAGTGTGAATTATCCGTATTATTTCACTAAATTTGGATATTTGGTTCACAGTTCCTCCTTCTTTTTCTTCAGTTCTTTTGTTGAGGTTTTTTTTCCTTATGCTTCCCAATATTGTCTTTTAAGCTCCCAAATATATGTATCACTTCAGAATATGTGTCATTTAAGGACAGCAGTGATTTTGCCTCTGCCCAGAAAAATCAATTTTACATGTGCTTAATTCTCATATTAACTAAGTATTTGTTTATTCTGTATATGCCTGTCTAGAAGGGAGAAGACTTAAATAAATTCAGTAGGCCTGAATACTTTGATGGAGTCTTGATTTTAGCATAGATCTACATTATAAATGTATGTATTTTATCTTTCTAAAACACACCAGAAATAACTCTGCTGTTTTCCTAGTACTGGTAATTATTCTGTGCTTACTTGCTTTTAATTTCAACATTTTTTTGGTCTCTCTGGGAATGATCACAAACACCATCATTTTACACAACTTCTATAACTAGGAGTCCCTCCCTTCTATATTGTAAGTTTAAATATTAATGGTAAACTGTTTAAAAATCAGCTTCTGGTTGTTTCTAGGAGGATCCCTTAGTGACATATGGAGTTGTTACGATTGGTTTGGATATAGGAAAATAGTTTAATTAGAATATTCTTTCTTAATCTGAGAGATGAACCTCAGAATAGTCTTTGAGGACTTCCCAGGAATTAAATTTTCATAGTCAGCATTCAACTTGAATTTCCCCTTCCAGGAGACATTAAAGGAAGCAGTGAACTTAAAATGCATATAAAGTGACCCAGAGCTTAGTAACTTAGCAGGATAATTCTGTTCTAATTTAAAAGAAAACAACAGTCCAACTTCTTCATCTTCTTGAAGCAGCAACAAAATTCTAAATCTATTAGCATCCTCAAATACTCCGAAACTTTAATGAAAGTTATAGTAATGAATAAGTCAACCAAATAGCACCAATTGTGAACGCAAGCCTTAATAATGTGAAAGAAATGGTACAACCAAACCTGATCACGAGTCATGCATCCATTGGCTCATTCATCCTAAAAAAACGCTGGGTTTAAAATCAAAAAATATGGATAATGCAAACCATCAGTGTGGTTTGTTCTGTGGGAGTCTGGCTATCCCTGCTGCTCCATTTCCACTGAGGGCCCAGTTTACACTCACTGAAATTGTGATTGGAATGAGTTTCCGTATAAAATCTATCACGACACAGACATATACACATGTATTTATGTGTGTGTATATACATCTATCTCTCTATAGGAATGCAAATATTTTAATCTTGATCACTCAGGTGTGCAGTTCAGCAAGCCTGCCCACACGCTGAAGTTCTGTGTCTTTATTTGCCAGACAGGGAACCAAAGATTGAAAGGAGATGTTAAAAATTGAATGGCCTATGTGATTTTTGTTTTATGCCAGACTGGATCTGAAAAAGCATCTGTTTTATATAAAATATTAAGAGGCTAAATGGCAACAGTGGCCAAGTGTCTGAAAAGCTTGTTTTATTTCAAATAGCCAGGAGCGACATCTTTCCTCCCACTTCTACCCATTATTTCATTTTCAAAACTGGTTCTGAAAATAATTAGTGTCAAGGTCCAAAGTGATAGAATTTTATATCACTGTTGTGTCACCTCATTTTTTTTATTACCTTAACATGAATTCGAGTATACATATTTTAGTGTATTACATATCAAACATGAAAAACAGATAATGCTACAATATTCCATTTAAATGGCAATGTATTTTAATTATTCATTATCAGATTTTAGAAGTAGACAGGTCATACATGATTTGTTACTGCAGCCTGTTATCAGCTTGATGAAGAGAAGGTGCAGCACTTTTTTTAAAGTAATTATTCTCCTAATGGATGTATTTGTCCTGAATGAGACAATTCTTCCTCTGTGTCAAACATTTTCAGAATTATAACTCTTATCTTAATTTGAGGGGAAAAAAAAATTTACATACCAGATGAAAATTCCTTCACTTTCCTTAACAAGTAAGTTTTATAAGTAGCCTGATGAAAAAGTCTGTTGGGGATGTATCCTCCAAAGATTGTGCTTAGAAGCCTTTTCTTCATGAAAAGTGCAGGACAATCGGATGGGTTTGTTCAGCTATAATTATACAATCTAAAGGTTTGTCTGAAAAAGAGTCATTGACTTCATATCTTCAGTTGATTTATCTTAACTTTAAATCTTCCCTTGCAGACGTAGCCCAAGAGTAGAAATGTGTATGCAAGAAGTTGCTGTACCTGTGACCACGTACGTAGGATGCAGCAAAGTCTAATTTTCCTTTTGTGCTGCTGCAGTCCAGCATAATAAGGGAACTCAGAAATATTTCATGATATGCTGTGATGTAAGAACTATTTTTATACACTGAATGGATTTTAATGTCTTTGGAAGAAAAGTGCTCTCTCTCTGTCTCTCATGTACACACAAACTCTGCATGTTATCAGAATAAGGTAGGAAAACATATTCAGATCCTTCTGAATATTTAATGAGGACACGATACTAACGACTCAAAAAAGCAAAAGAGGCTACATAGGAATATTTTACCATCCTTCTCTATCCTGAACAATATTTCAACTTAAGTGAACTTGTTCTGTAAATTTTTTTACGTAGCCTTTCTTGTTTTAAAGTGGGCTGAGCATGATTTTGTTCATGTTGGCATTAAACGCGTGGCTGAGGGTTTTGCGGGATTTTTTTATGGTTTTGTTTTGGGTTTGGGCTTTTGTTTTGGTTTGTTTTTTGTTTAATCTTGAAAGGCAAGTTTCACTCTGACAACAAATTACAGTTTGGTATTTAATTAAGAGTAAATTCTTCCACCATTCAAGACAGAGCTTTTGGGGACTTTTTTTGTTTGGTTGGTTGGTTGGTTAATTGTTGTTGTTTTGGTTGGTTGGGTTTGGGTTTGTTGGGTTTTTTTGTTTGTTTGTTTGGGGTTTTGTTTTATTGTTTGGGGTTGGTTTTTGTTTTGTTTCATTTTGTTTTCATTGGGTAATGATACTTCAGTATTTTCTGAAAATAGTGCTGCTCTGTAGCCTGGATCACTATGTGTTCATTTTTATTTTCACAGAGTTTCCTTCTTTTCTTCTGTATTTGAAAGACAATAAAGACCTCAGATACCATCACAGCTGTTATGGGTCTCCAGAATATCTACATTTCAGTCTCTAGTATGGTGATATCTAAAAGGTATTGGCTGGGAACCTGTATGGCTGTGTCCTCATCAGTATGCACCATGTTGTGAATATTAACTTTTTTTTTTCTTTCAGGGAATATATTTTTTGTTTGTTCCCCCTCCCCCTTTTTTTCACTTCCTGGGACTTAAGCTGATGAAGTGCTGTAAATCTCACTTTGTGTTTTAAGACACTAAGCCAGACAAATAATTTTAACAAGACAAACCAAGTCCGTCACAAATAAAGAAGGAAATAAAAAATAGAAAAAAAAGCCAAACCTTTAGAAGTTCTGCATTTGCTCTCCTGACCCTTGCATCAGCAGTGGAGGTCCTGTCTGAGCACCATCAAGCACTCTCTAAGGTAGGACTCATTCCCTTTTTTAATTAAAAATCTTTGATTCCATTTTTTTTTTCTTACAACAATAATCTTCTATTTTATTACCTTTATATTTCCCAAGTCTGTGTTCCAAAGAGCAGAGTGAAGCATAAATTCTACGAAGAAAGCAAGCAAGCCTGTGTAACTGACTGAAGATCCATCTTGGAAAGCAGTTAATGCTTCTGGATGTTTAAGATGACAAATCGGTGCTCTTCATAAAAGAAGCAGTAGTACCTGCCTCGTGAAAGGTAATGAGCCTTAGATGGCAGATGGCATCTTAGACATTTGAACACCTTCTTGGCTGAATCTCCTTCTATAAAGGCAGTAGTGAGGGGATTCTCTGTGCCCTTAGGGCCCCTCTTGAGACAAGCATAACTTTTAGCCTTGGTTTCAGAAATTGCACTGCAAGAGCAGCCTGCCATAACTTCTGTGTGCTCTGCTCCATTGCAGTTTTATCTGATACCATCTACCTAAAATAACATGGGCCACATCAGCTTCAAGCAGGGAGGGGAGAGAGAGGATATAACCATTTCACATGCAAATTGTAGCCTAGTTTTTACTAACCAAGCCATGGTCAGCACTGTAAGCTTTTAAAAGTCCTTTCAAAGCCAGGAGTCTGACCCAGTCACTAAATTACTGCCTAGAGGAAACTCTGTCTCCCCTTACCCGAGCTGGTTGGAGGATTCATAGGAGATAATTCTCCCCAGGGTAAAGTTGTCCTTTGTGACTATCTCATGACATGTCATCCATGAGATGCAACCCCGCTGTTCATGACACAGGGTGGTTCTGAGCTGCCCAAGGCTCCACACAGCACCCCTGGTTCCTGACCCGCTGTCTGACCGTGGTTGTGTGACAGCAGACGTGTACAGTAACACGCTGTGTCTGTGTTTTATGAATGTTCCAAATCTGGGTCTAACAATATTTGCTCGGGCACTGAGAAAGTCTGGGAATTTGATCTTGGCATGCACTTGGAGCCAAAAATATAGAGCAGCAAATGGGCATATGAAAGACCTGGCTGAAATTCACCCCTGTTATCCCAAATGTCACTCTGAACGTTCTCAGAGACTTTTAGACTCCCAGTAGACACAGTCATGCCAGTGGTATCTGAATGTAATGAGCTGGACCTGTCAGAAGCAAGTCTCAGTCAGCATATTAATTCACTAGCTTTACAAATGTGATTATTTAAAAGATTTTTGTCTTTGTAATATAGATGCTTTTGATTTAAATTTTGAATTAACACCTACTGCAGTATCTGTCTCACAGTCTGTGTCCCATTACACAGACCTGCAAGGATGCTTAGGAATGTAATTAAATTGCTGTTACTGGAGGGATACTTTATCATCACTCAGTAAAACATATTCACAAGTGGGAAACATTGTCTAATTTCTCAATGCTCTAGAATAGTCTCCTCAGTTGTTCCATCAGTCAATAGAACAAAGATATCCAGAGTATGGGTGTACTATTACATTTTGTTTGCTCATGTACTGCATTGCACTTAGGCTGGCCCTCAATCCACAGTAATCTCGTCAAAGTTTTCCTCTGTACATTATGCTCAAGATAAAGGAAATTATATATGATAGCAGATGCCAGATTCAACTTGCTAAACCATACCTAGCATGAGTAGCTAATAACTTCCTGATCCATCACTACTGTATGTTTGAAGCTTTGCAGGGAACTTCACTTCTGAGACTGAAATGCCCTTTTTTTTTTTTAATCAATTCTGTTTAGATCGGTATCTGCTGTCTATGAAAACTTGTTTGGATTAAGATTTCATTATGGATTTGAAATGGTCCAGATTCATTTAAGGGGTTGTCTTAAAATACCTCTGATAAACTTGGGTAATTTCTGATCATGCTTTAGAGCCAGCTACTGACTACAGGATGAAATCAAAACCACCTCACAACTCACAGTTTGGTTTGGCTTAAGGTTTAAACCCAGTTCACAGCCAGGAAAGGCTGAACTCTCCACCCCAAGATTGTCTCATCTCTTTGGTACCTGTAGAATATTAGAGAGCAGTTATGATTGGCAGTATCACTGAAAACGTGGCTTTCCTCCTCTACAAGGCTCTGTTTTAAGTAACAAAGTTCCTCTGCAATTATTGTGGTGGTGTTGTATTGATAAAATACTCCACTGAAATAGGAATGACATTGCATGAAGTCCTCTAGGAGGAATACAGAATGATGCTACCATCATAATGACACTACAGTCTAAAGCAACAGAGTACAGATACAAGGGGAACAGAAATGCCTTCAATTTGTTCCAGTGTATGCCCAGATACTCTTTTTGTTATCAGTCTTTGTTGACAACTTCACAGTTGTTTAGCTTTGCCTAAGAGCAACCTAAAGTGGATTCAGTGCAGAGCTGTGTAAAGCAGACTTCATTTAAAAATGCGGCCTGATTTTTTTTTCTTCTTAATTAAGAGATAAAACATTATTTTTTGATGATATATATAATTTTTCACTTTCTAAAAAGATCCATGATATGAAGTATTTCACAAGCTCTGGTAGCACTGATGTTTTTGTGTCTTGTACCAGCGCAGTTATGTTCAAAAAGTATGAAAGTTACAGATATGCTGTGTTTTCCTTCTATAATCTTAGAAAGAAATTTTATTCGTAAAATCTGAGAGGCAAAATCAAGGTGTCTCTTTTAGATATTTGGATATACAGCTTCTTGTCAAGTGTCAATGCTACATTTTAGTTATTACACATAATCATGGTTATCTAGAGGAAATGAGATGCAAAAATGAATGCTTAAGCTCTAATTATATTAGTAAACACATTGTGAGGGAAGCCTTGACACTTTTAAAAATTTTTTGTTTTCTTGATCTGCATTTCAGACCTCTGGAATAGACCCATAGCCAGTGCCCAGCTTGGGCACTTGCTCTAAATGCTGAAGCCACAGAGCTAAGAAACTGCCTGAAATGTCTTTATGTACTTGCATTATGGTTATGGAAGGGCGTGGAAATCTGTGAAGCAGTGGGTTCTCTAGTTTCAGCCTTCTGACTTTTTCTGCATTCCCCTGGTGTGGATCTTAAGTACATTTGTCCAGCATTGCATTAAGTCTGATTGGTTGAAATATATGATTCTAGATTTTCCTTTTCTATTATACATGGCTTTGAAAATGCACTTAAGTTGTTGAATAGATTGCATTTCACCCAGATTTAATTTAAAGTGGTGTTCATTAAATGCTGCTGCGAATTGAATTTATACAAGAGTCATAAACTTACAGTCCCCCTCAGACTGAAGGTTCTCAACACACTTTACAAATTCAAACTGTAAATGGAGAAAATAGAAGTGAAAACATAAAGCTATAAAAAATACCACACTGTGTAGCTATTAGTTATTCAACATTTAACTGCCTTGCAAGCGGTTAAAAATACAGCAAATGGTCAGACATTGACTATAGTTTTATCAGAAAATGATTCTTTATCAAAAGAATATCTAACATGACAGAAGAAAACCCATCTATTCTCCACTAGTAATATCAAAAATACTAGTATTATTGAATAAAAATGGAAACTAACTAAATCACTGGAATACTTTAGAAGGAATAAACCATGCATCATCCATGTGAAGGCCATCAAGCACTGGTGAGCATATCAATGTCTTATTTAGTGATTTTATTTAGCACTGTATTTATGAATAAGGAATTGTTCTCAGTTTAAAGCTCCAATTCTCCTTGTTTCAGTCCCCTGTTACTGTACCTGTGTGAGGGAACCACACACTCTAAATTAATCCCTTTTGCCTCTCTGTAACTAGAATTACTCAATATGATAATAAATTTTTTTCCTTCTCTGGTTCATCTCTGTGCATTCAACTCTTCTAAAGCCATTCAAATTCCTCCCTTCTAGATTATCAAGATGAGCAGGGCTTTCCTGAAGTTGTAGTGTGAGTGGGGATGGTTTGACTCAAAAACTCATTTGGGCATGAAGGTTTGCTGAGCCAGCAACAAACTGAAATGTGGGTGGAGGCCCTGCTCAGGTTGTTGTAAAACCAAGAAAAATGATACAGTATTTGAAAGGAATTATTAACAGAAAAAAAACATTACTCATCTCTTAGAGTGAGATATTACTAATTGGAAGAGATGCATCTAAAATTTTAGAAATGTTGCAGAAGAGTCAAAGTTGATTAAAACATTTTGTGAAATTGGGCAGGTCTGACTTGAGTTTACTTGATGCTGGGTATTCTTCACAAATCACTGTTCAGGAGCTTCCAAAACAAATAGGAATTTTTAACTAATGTAACACACTAAATTCTAAATTTGGGCCTGTCATTTTGCATTCAATTCAGTTACACAACGAAATCTGCAGGCTGCACAAGAAGATCGTGCAGTGCCTTGGATGTAAGCATCTCTCCTGCTGGCTGGGTAAACATGGGATAAACATGGGATTGCTGCTGCCTGCCTGCTGTGGCTGTCTCTTCTGCCCCACCAGGCTGCTACAGAGACAGTGCAATCCACTTTCCATGTTCAGTTATTATACTAGAACCTCAGATGGACGACTAATCTGATGCACAAACAGGCCCCAGGTGGGAGATAAAACATATTATATCTTCTAATTAATTGTTCTTATGTTTGTTCAGAAACAGAAAATCACCTAAATCTTGAGCTCTTAAAAACCAGCTACCAGTGCTGTGTCATCTAGGCATTTTCATTCATTCTAAGGATTCATTATTTTAATTTAAAATGCCTCTATATGATACTCAGTAGAGATATCCCCATCTTCAACAATACATTTGCCATAATGTTTTACTCCTTCCTTCAGACCTCTCTCAAATCAAGCACTTCAGTTGACAGTTTAGCATGAATTAATGAAAAAGGAGTTGGAAGAAGCTGAAAAAGATTTATTATTACTATTATTATTATTCAACTGACTACATATCCGTGTTGATCTTCTGAAAAGAATATTGCGAGAAGAAGGAACTGAAAAAAAGTGTTTGAAATGTATGGGTTAGAATTTATTCTGCTCTTCAGTCTATATAATTTTAAGAATCAAGGCTTCTGGCTTGAGGTGGAAATTCCTGCTCTAAATTGTAAGCAGGACTGCTTTACTGGTATTGCTTAACATGCTGAGAGGAAGTGAAAATGGATGTTTCCAATACTGAGAAAACATAAGGTCGAAGCTGGCCATTTAATAGATAAGATCTGACTTTTATTCAGTTCCTTTTGTTTAAAAAGAAAAATATTAATCATCTTTGTAAGAAAACACAAAGACACAAGACTTAAACACACCTGCTGAATATTTTCTTACATACTTCTGATAAAAATCTAAAACGCATAAGTCTACATGATCCAAACACACAAGTGACACCTAATCTTTCTGAAGCAACACTCTGCCCTGTGGAATGTGTTGAGTTAGTAATGTAAGTCATATAAGTCTTGTACTCCCTTCATTTGCATGAACTCCTCTTTCACAACCATATTTCCTTTAACACTTCAGCCTGCCCTGTACGTTCTGTGTTTGGCTTTGCCGCTCTGTGGTAATAACCCCAGGCAAAGAGCACAGCGGGGGCGGCTGCCAACAGCAGAGTCCTGGCGCTGACTAGGCCAGGGTTTGTGTGGCACAGGCCAGCTCAAACACGGGCACTTCCTCTTTCTGTTTTCCTGCCTTCTGGGGCCAGCCAACCAGAGGTGAAATTTCTCCATTCCTGGAACATCTGGCTTAGGCTCTCAATGCTCATAATTATCCTCCCGGTCCCAGCTCTCTGCAGGTGCAGGGAAGTGTAGGGCAGGTTCTCTGAGAACACAGCTCTACAGTGGATAAGTTCATCTATAAATCTTAGCTAAATGGATGTCATAGGATTTAACAGAGTTGCTGGATTTTTTTTTTTTTGCTCAGAAAGGGTCTCCTGAAGAAATACCGGTTGGAATAATATTACACTACCAGGTTATGAAATGTAGGGCAAAATCTCCAACTCTTAGTTAAATGTGTGGTTTTGTATTGCAATCTGAAGATGCTGTATCACTTATGCTTTTACCGTCCACTCCTGCATCACCCATTCACTTTTAACCCCTTTTCTCAACACAGGCTTTCACTTCTCAGGTACCTACTTGTCTTCACACATTGCTCCTCCCTTGTCAGTCAACTACTCCTCATCTTGCCTGGTAACACCAGGAAAACATTCCCATGCATTCCCTGGCAGTCAGATGCTGTTGTAGTCCCCATTTGCTCTTAGAGAGGCTCTGACCTGTGAATGTCTTTGGAGCTGTGACCTGTTCCTTGTTGGGCTCAGCACGGTTTGCCTAAACAGATGGTGAGCAGTGGCATGCAACGCCTACTTATCTTTCTGTGCCTCTCTCCATATGGTTCCTGTATCAGACCTGGAAACAAACTGAAGGAGTTAGTGTGACTAGGAAATAATTTCATTAAGCTTGACAAAGTTGCTGCTAAAAATTCTTGTGTTCTTGCAGTGGCTGTGTGATTCAGTTCAGATTTGAGATGGGAATATGCAGTTCTCTTGATTTTATTGGGGTTAAACGCACCTGTACAGTGCCTAAAGCTTGCTCTGTGAGGTGTGAGTCTGCAAGCCACTTTAGCATACATGTGAGTTTCTTGTTTTCTCAAGAAAATCACCTCATGACAGGTGTGAGACCTTGCAGCATTAATATCTGTACACGTACATTGCATAATATCTGTAAATGTTCTGATATTGCACAAGATTGCAAAGCCTTAGAAATGGATAATATCACTTGCTCCTTTTGGTAGTGGTAGGGGAAATAGTATTTAAACAACCTGATATTAAAAACGGATGCTTTTAGGTGATAGATTCAGTTATATTCTCTTGGCACTTAAAAGGAATTTATTAAAAGTGTCAAGATTTCAGGGTCTAGGATAACATCTCAAAAGGAGCCTGTAAAGGCTCTTAAGTCTAACAATCATTACCAGATTTAGCTTTCAGGGAGGCTTAATGTCAAAGGCCAGAATTATTTTACAGTTACTTTTGATATATTTGTTTCTCAATTAGTTACTTGGGACCAAATCCCCAAGAGGGAGCTACAACATGAGGGATGCACAAAACCTGAGAGACAGTGAGCAGTAAAGCAGATCAGTACACAAGGAGTACACCTGGGAGTAGGGACAAGGCAAGAAGAAACTTCTTGTTTCTAGTACTAAGCTTCTAGTATCTTCTCTGGGGTTGGCTCACGGATTTTGCATTGAAAACTCACAGAACAAAAGGCACAATCAAGTGGGTTTAATTTCCTTTCCTGATCCCAGACCTCTCTCACACCCTCATGTGTTTGCCTTAATCACTTGTACGTAGTAAAAGCAGGGAAGGAGGCCTTTCACTCCTCTCCCCCTCTGACATGAATTTGGAATAATTACAAGGAATAATTAAGGATTCCTTGTTTTGAAAGACAGAATGATTAACCTATAAAACTGACAGGTACACTACATACTACTGAAAAAAAAATTCTGAGCAGAGACTCACAGAGCCCTGAACCATGTAGAGGTATTGAGCAGGTCAAAGATGATTTCTAGGGGCATTTTGGCTGAGGGATGATCTCTGGAGCTTTCAGTTGGTGCAGTGGGTTGTGGAGTAACTGGAATTTCTGTTTTCTGTTGTGGAACATAGGAGTTCAGGCTGTTGAAGGTGATTTTATAACACCGACTTAGGACCCAGCTGCATGGCTAATGCACTCCAATGAAGCAGTGAGCTGGTGGAATTCCTGAAGAGCCACAATCAACTCCTGCTGAGAGGTTCTGCTTCCCTCTGCTTCCTGGCATATGGGGCATGAATGTATATTGTGGCTTTTAGCCATATGAAGTTTTGGGTATACAGCTCACACAGGTAAGGAAGCTGGCAACATTAAAAAGTAGAGATACTCATGAGGGAGACACCTGTCCCTGCTCCAGCAGTTACTTACTGTATTTTAAATAATTTTTTTAATCTTATATTCAACATTTATGTTATAAATCTTACATAAAACCAGACGAACAGGCCCTGTGATCCAGATGTCTCTGCCCCTCAGTGAATGTTTCTACCACAGAGCTGTGGTATCATACTTGTTGCTTCTCTCTTTTTACCACAAATATTTTTTATTTATTTGTACAAAGTGAAACAACTTCATCAACAAGGTTTGCAAGATTAAAAAAATTATTCCATAGCCAGGAATTTAAAGCACTCTGTTAAAGAATGGGAAGAATTTGCTACCTAGCGCTCTGTACTTTGTGACTAGTGAATTTGGGAAGCTACTACATGTGCTCACCACATGCCTCTGGGTAGAGTTTCTCAGGAGATACAGGTGGAGGAACTGTGCTTGTGAATCCTGCCAGGCGTGAATTAGACACGGAGAATTCAGCTCTGCTGACACTGCAAGGCTTCTAGACAACCCTAGAAGGGAAACGTTAGCACCTGGTTTAACTCTGGAAGCAGAGGACTGTAGGGATAGCTGAAGAATTTTTGAATGCAGACACCTGAAGCTGAACAATGTCTTTGAAAATCCCACTAAATTCTTATTTGCATCTTTAGATAGTTGTCTTATTTGTCCAACTGCAACAATGTGATTCCCAATCAATTTAGGAACTTGTGCTTCTTGCATGTTATTTTAATATTTTGTATTACATTTTTTCCACTCAAAAAGGAGCTTCCTAACATGGCTCAGAGGGACATTGTTATTAGTAAGTCATTAATGAGCCTGTACCTTTGACTGTGTCAAGTGAGAATTGTTTCAATTAAATGAATTACTTTTTTGGCTAATCAGTAGGACAACTATTCATTCTCAGTATCTCTTCACTCTAAGAGATTTGGTCACTTTGCTTGAAATACACTAGTTAAAACTTGCTTTCAGCCTACATTTCTGTTTATTGGCTATTTAAGCAGAAACTCATTTTGTTAGTCGTGCTAGGAAAAGATGCTTTGAAAGTATCTGTCCCATTTCCTGGGGTGCCTTGCTAAGAAGCTGCATACACACTTATAAATCACAAGACCAGAAAAAGAAAAGCATAAAACCCAGTGTACACACAGAACTATCTAAAAATAATAGTTGTTTGGTAACATTTTGGGTACTGTAAGCTCTGGAACACAAGATAAAATGGAAGTGGCACTAAAGACAGTATGCATGTTAGTAAATATCTTGATTTTTCAGTCATCTCCCTGGACTGTAACAAACCAGGTTGTGTTAAAGAGGCAAGCTGAGCATCATCATTGAAATTACTGTTTGAGGAACTTTTTACTTCCTTGTACTTTATGTAGAGTACTTTTAAGCATCAGGAAAAAAAACCCAAAATAACAGAACCATCAGATAAAGACCAAGAGAATATTTGGTCTTTCCAGGCCAAGTAGATGGATAATACAGTCAAATGAAAGCCTATGGAAGGTAGGACCCCATCCTACAAACATATATATATATCCACTCAAATTTGTTGAGTGAGCAGTTTTTAAAGGCATCTTAAAAGAAAAAAAAACAGTAATGGAAGAGTTAGCCTTAACCCAGTGATCAGAAAACTAAACACCATCTGAATCACAAAATAAACAGAAGGTCCTGTGTAGATTTGAAACAAACAGCCAGAGTACTTATTACTTTTATTTCTTTAATTATAAGAATAATTATTACTTTTAAAAGTAACTGAACATTTGCCTTCAGAATCAGTACTTCAGGTACTTCAAAATTATAACATACAGCATTTTTTCCTGAACCTATATGTATGACAGAGAACAATTTATGCCACAATCATCTAATGTTAAGGTATTATTTGTATATATAGGCATAAGCACAGGTGATCAATTTTCTACTGCAGCAAAAACCTATGCAAAAAGTGAACTCTCAGTTATAATAAAAATGACATCACTCTTTGAAAACTAGATCCCCTTCATGGGCATCAACAAATACATTGTATTTTTAATAGCTGTTAAATTTATTTGCTAATGATGAACATCCTGTGACCACCTTGAAGTTAAAACTAGGTGGAAGTTTAAATCTGAAATAAAGAAGAAATCCCTGACTACATCACCCCAACTTTGTGAGTAGCTGCTTGGGGACAGGTTGTGTCCCCATACCTTCCCTGGGAAGCCTGAGCACAATATTCCATACACATGCATTTTACAAGAGCATGTAGTGACACAAGAAGGGGGAATGGCTTCAAACTTAAAGAGAGTAGATTTAGATTGGAATTAGGAAAAATATCTTCCCTGTGAGGGTAGTGAGGCCCTGGCACAGGTCGCCCAGAGAAGCTGTGGATGCCCCATCCCTGGAACTGTTCAAGGCCAGGCTGGGTGGGGCTCTGAGCAACCTGGTCTAGTGAAAGGTGTCCCCACCCATGGCAGAGGGCTTGGAGCTGGATAATCTTTAAGGCCCCTTCCAAACTAGGCCATTCTGTGGTTTTATGATTCTGCTAACAAAAGATACATAGGCAAAAAATAATATGCCAGTTACAAAAGATAATGTATAAAAGGCTCCAGTCACAAGCTTTCCTTCCCAAAAATCAGAATTTTACTTTCATTATCGCGTGACCATTCTAGTAAGATAAAAGTGACCCATTTGTTTCTAAACAACACTTATTTTGAATTATAAAGTTTGAACTTTCTTAAATGCCTCTAATGGAAGTATAACAGACTTTCAGAGACTGAAAAGCTCACTTCTGTACTTGGGCAAAATCTGAATCACAGCCTACCCTTTACACCACATGAGGGTTGTAATTGTTTTCCTAATACAGTAATTGTAATTCCTTCTATGCACACCACAATGAAAGGCAGTAGAACTTTCCATAAATTAATAAATTTGATTTGTCATCAAATTGATGCTCTCCACAACATAGGACTTACTTTTTCTTCATTACATACTTCAGTCTTCCCCTTATGAAGAAAACCCTGAAAATGTGAATTAACTGAAGCAGATGTAGTGTGGGTGTTGTGAGTATGCCTGCACTCAACCCCAAAATAACATTATTTACTATTTCCCTGCTGAAAATGCAAAACCTAATCTAATTCATATGGTAAATATATTTCAGTGGCACATTCAAAATCATTGAATCAGTGAGACAAATCACATGACAAAATCTTCTTCTATGTATTAATCTGGATGCTTACTATGTTGCATGGGAAATTTATGGATTTCAAAACTTTAAATTGAATTTCATGGGATAGCCTTTGTGAAACGCCACTGAATTCAGAAAAATGCTAATGTTTATAACTAATAATAAAGAATATTTTTAACTGCTCCAGTAAACAGATACACATAAATCTGTCATGTAACCTACTGGTCATCACCTAAACTTCTGAGGATTTAGATGACTTAAGCAAAATGCTTGTAAAAAGTATTACAGGCCTTTCTGTACAGTAACCATGAAACTTCCTGGATTTGTCTCCTTTGAAGCTTCTATTTTCATGGAAGATTGCTCTCCAAATGTAAAACAGAAGGGTATTGCTGGGTTTTCACTGCAGCACGAACTGCTGCAAGTGGCAGTTTCTTTGGTGAATGACTGATACAGCCCCAGCACATTTATACAGTGACATAGCATGTAATGGTTCCCATTTGCTTTGGGTTATTGTAGGTGTCTATTCACCAAAAGGAGGCTGATTCTGCAATTGTGCCAAAAAGCTGCATCACCAGAACTTCAGTGAATCTTGAGCTGTTCACTGTTTGCAGGAGCAGAGACTGCCTTCCCAGATTTTCTCTTCTATAGAGAAGGAAAACAGCATTTTCAGGGGACTGTAACCATATGCTCAACATACTGTTTAAGAGGTACCTATCATCTGTGAAGAGTCCAATCTGCTGGAATCATAACCTGAAGAATGAGCTAACACCAGCACCCTCCCACCCTCCCTCTTCTTTTTATCTGTCTCTGCATGGGAAGTCTCCTAAATGGTCAACATTTCTCATCTGTGAAACTCACTTTCTGTTTGGCTATCACCTACCATGGTCTACCACCTGGTGCTGCTTTTGATGGAGATCCTAAAATTAAATTACTGCTGCTTTTTTGTGAGAGAGCTTTACAACTTAAGTGCTTAAAACACCCATAGATAATCAGTAGACGAATATGAGACAATTATTGCTTCGTTCAGAAACATGAAGAAGTACTTTTATCAACTCCCACATGGCAAGGAGCACAGCAAGGTTCATCTTCCATGTATTAATCCATATATAACCTCAGTGCTCAGAAGAATTTGTGCCTTTACTTTGACTTTCATCATGTGATCTAAAAGCTCCTTGATGGGAGTATCAAGATACCAGGAAAAAAGAATCAAAATTTGACATTCTTCTGTAAACTTCAATGCAGAAAGTAGCAGATGGCTTGGGGAGGTCTAGTCCAATTCACGTGAGACTGGAAAGGTGCTGTCTCTGGCTTGGAGCTGTCAGCTTCAGGCAAGTTCAGGCACTGACACCTTGAGCCTTGATCCTTGGTGAAACCTAGCACCCATAAACCCCACTATGCTCGTGGTATCCTCAGAGGAACAGGCAGCCAGAGCTTAGAAATATGTTTCAATCATTTAATGAGTTTGAAACACTCTTGAAAAAAGCCCTTGCTATTAGGCTCAAATCATAACAGTTATGAAAATGAATACAAGTTTCTTTACACTAACCTCAGATCTGTCCAACCAAAAAAAAAAAATACTGCTGCTTTTAATCTAAAGTGAATAATTAATGTTTTAGTTTAAGGAATTAAAAGAGTATAGATCATTATCTACTTTTATCCATATAAGTATTATACATTTAAAGGGGGTGGTAGCAAAAAAAAAAAAAGTTGTTTAGGGAGAGTTTATTCCTCTGGTTCGACTTTTTTTTAATGACTTCATTGAAAGTGTCAACATTTCTGGTATCAGGAAGTGCAATTGTAAAGTAACAAAGTGGAGATAAATTGAGATGTAAAAGAATGCTACTTGGTAAGAAGCATTAGGTCAAAGGTCTGATCTATTTGAATGGCAAACTGCTGCACGTGTTTTCATCCAGTATCTCAGGATCAATTTACTTGCATTCTGTTTTGATGCATCTAGACTTCGACATACCCAAGAGATGCATCTTATTATACAAAGCTGAAAAGGAATTAGGAGTCATACAGTTATTACTATCGGGGTCCTGAATCTGCCTCTGGGAGGTTGATGCTTAGCATAGATGGAACCCAGATATGTTTTTCTAGGTGTATATGGCAACCTGCTGATTGCTGTCTCACCAGAATAAACTCTAAACCTTTCCAGCTGTTCTTAATCTGGACCCTTAACCTTTAGAAAAACCAGAGGCTTTCCATTCCTCAGAGCCAAACTTTGCTAACAATATCTAGGTTGTTTTCAAACTAAGCTTCAAACATAAAAATGACTAATAAATCCATTTTCCATAATAGTTAGGCTGGAAAACTATTATTTAATAACAGACTCAGTTTTTACGACCCATTTCTAATAAAAATCCCAAGTATGCTTCACTAATGCTACCATTTCAGATACTCAGATCCTGGATGATAGACAGGAGATCCAGATAGATACACCAATAAATATGTAAAGGCTATAAATCTGTCTCAAATTAGTGATTTGTGGATGCGTGAGGGGGAAGAGAGCTGGGAAATTCTGTTTTCTAATCTGTTCACTTCCTGAGTCTTAATGTCCTGTAACTTCACAGCTGCTGATTGTATTTTTCTGTGGCTTGTATTATTAAGTGCTAAATACATTACTCCATGCTCTTCGGTGGGACCTGGGGCTTTGCACAGGCTTTTAGTCTGCACCTGATTCCACTCCTGAGAAGATCGATTTTTGTCAGCCCAGGGGGCTGAGCCAGAGTCTGCCCCAAGCATGCTGTGGAGCCCTCCGGAGTGAGCGCGAGGCAGGTTTGGAGGAAGGAAAGAGCAGGTTTTGGATGGAGCCGCAGCCTAGAAATTCATAACGCTTCAGAGGACCGACCGTAGCCCGCTGGCTTTGGGATTCCAGTTCGGGCTCCCCATTAAAACAACAACAAACCCAGTAATAATCATTTATAAACATCCATCTTTCTGACTCTTTTATGGCCTCGTAATTGCCCCATCCCTGACAGGCCGATTTATGCCTTGGCCGGCAGCGCCCGGTGACCGGGAGCTCCTCCGCCCGGGTGGCACCGCCGGCTCCGGCGGGGGGAGAGCGGGGCAGGGCCAGGCAGCCCTTTCCTGCGAGTCGCTCCGGCCGCTTTGGAAGCGGCAAAGCGAGCCGCTCCCCGCAGCCTCCCGCAACACCCCGCTCCGCTGCTCGGGTTTGGCTTGTTCTGTTCAGGTTCGCTGCTGGGCTTTAGGCAGCCTCCTCTCCCGGGCGGGGGAAGCGCTCATCACTTGATTTTTTTAGCGTGTAAAACTCAAGGATTATCTCAGCAGTGTTCAGGAGGGAAACCCTTCTCTTCTCGCTCTTCCTCTTTTACTCTTCCCACGCAGCCTCCCTTCACGTCCCTCCCGCGGATCTCTCTCTCGCCCTCCTGGCAGGACTTCGCAACTTCTGCCCAGGCTCCCCTGGCCTTTTATTTGCCATTTTTTCGTCCTGGGCTTTGTTTATTTATTTTTTTCCCGGTCATTTCTCCTTCCCTGCGGCCCGCAACGACCGGGGAGGCTCCTTCCCTTGGCCCGCGGGGCACGGCCGGGAATGCCGCGGGCCGGGCACGGACCCTCGGGCGGGCAGTGCCGTTCCTCCCCCCCGCCTCCTCCCTGCCTCCGCCGGGAGTGCCTGTGAGGCAAAGGATGGCCTAGAAATTCAGCAGCGCTTCTGAGGTGGTACATCTGCCTCTCCTCCAGCCGCCAACCTCCCCCCCATTTCTTACACTGTTCAGGATTTCTCCGCGTCTCTCCCTCTCCCGCACTTTTAAAAAGCAGTTTTAATTCACCGCCCACCCCCCCGCAAGCGCAGGGTGGTCGCGGAGAGCCGAGGCGCTCCGCACTCCCCCGTGCGCGGCGCTGGGCTCCCAGGGGGCAGGCGGGCGGGGGGCGAGCCCTGCGCTCCGCAGGAAATGCCGGCGCTGCTCCGGTCGGGAGCGCCCCCGGCCCGCGGGCCCTGACCGGACCCTACCCGGCCGGGAATCAGCCCAGGGCCGGGAATCACCCCCGCCGGGGGTGTGTAGGGCAGCCCGCCGAGGCCATGGGCGGCTGCCGCGGGCGCTGCCCGCCGGCGGGGCCGCAGCCGGGCGGGGCGGCAGCGGCGGGGCGGGGGGCGCCGGCCCGGACCGCGCTGCTCCCGCCGCGGGAGACCTGGCGCCGCCGGAAACTTTCCTGGGCGCTGTGCGCCGGCTCCGTGTCGGTGCTGCTGGCCCCGGTGGTGAGGCTGGTGCGGGAGCAGCGCGGCCAGGCGCTGGCGGGGCGCTGGGGCTGGGGCTGGGTGCCCCCCGGCGCGGTGCCGCTCTGCCTGCCAGGCGCCCTCTCCGGCGCGGGGCGCTCCCCGGTGCGGGGCGGCGTGCGGGCGGCGGCGCTGCTGCTGCTGCTGCTGCTGGCCGCCTGCTGCGGGGGGGAAGCGGTGGCGCAGACGGCGCTGGCGGCGGGGGAGGAGGAGGAGGAGGAGGATCACTTGCTTTCCCTCGCCGCCACGGGGGTGGTGCTGAGCTGCCTGGCCGCCGTGACATGGCTGGTGCTGAAGCTGAGGCAGAGCGTCCTCATGCTCGCCGTGACTAGTGCGGCCAGGACCACGTCCCTCGTCGCCTTGGAGAGGGTCCCGGCGTCCTGGCGGCCCTACCTGGCCTACCTGCTGGGGTTGCTGGGCATCCTCCTGGCCGGCTACGCCGACCGGCTCTGGCCCCCGCGGCGGGCCGCCCCGCTGGCGGAGCCTCCCGCCGCCCCCCCGGCCGCGGACGAAGCCCCGGTGCTCAGGCGGCGGCGGCGGTCCAGCTCCATGATCTCCCCCGAGATGTCGGGCGGCGGCGGCAGCGGCAACAAGACTCACCGGAGGACTTCGCTGCCCTGCATCCCCCGGGAGCAGGTAGGGCAAGGGCTGAGCGAACGCGTCCCAAACTTTACTGGGGGTCCCGCCGGCGGCGGAGGCGCGGGGAGCTGCGCGCTCCCGCCGCTCCTCGCCAGAGGGGACGCGCACGGTGCGGGCTTTCCCCGGTGCCCCGCGGCACGGAGAGCCCCGGGCGGCTGTCCCGGGACGGGGCTCGGGGGGAAGCGGGGCTCTCCGGGCATAGCCTGACTTGTCCCGGCTGCGGGCTGACGGGGAGAGGGCTCGGGATGTGCTTTTCTTTCACAGCCATCACCAGCGCTGGCTTTCCTTAAGCCTGGCAAAAGGACTGGGGCGGACGGTGCTCTCTTGGCTCTCGGAGCCGGAGGGAACCTGCCCTCAGCGCAGCCCTCGGGTTTCCCAGCGCATCACTTACAAGCCTTGCATTTTCAAACCTGTAGTTTCCTAGAAAGGTAGCTCAGCCCTATTAAACTCGCTCTAAGCTTTAAAGGTGCGTGTGTGCGTGAGCCAAGCAGCCTGTTCTCCCTGGGAGAAGTTCCTAATCAAGGCTGGCCCGCACGGCGCGGGGCTCGTGTTTGCACTTTGCCTCCCCGAGGCTGTTCCCCTGCGTGTAATCAATAGCTCCCGCTCCGCCGCCGCTGTGGGAACCGGTGCGAGGCTCATGCGATTTATCTCAACTTCGTTTCCTCTGAGAGGCTGTGATTGGAACGGCTGAGTGAGAACTTTGTTACTGGCGATGCGTTCTTTTAAATGCGCGCCTCAGGGAACTGGAGAAAGGAACGATCGAGCACCAACCAGTATCTTTACAGCACAGCCGTATAGAGCCCTGCCACCGACATGAGGTGGGCTTAGTTCTGCGCTTGAAGGGTTTCTCAGTTTTTCTGAGATTTAAGATTGTCTCGCCAAAGAATCATTCCATGGGTCGAGTGTAACTGAGCGTAGCACAACCCTTGCTGAGCAGTGAAAAGGGAAACCTGGGGGGAAAATAAGTGTCAAGTGGTGTTAAGCTTTCTTTTTCAATTAGTATTGAAAATGATTCTGTGCGCTGTGGTCAAGTGAAGCGTGTTGCCGTACGCCAAAGATTTTCTTTCAGGTTACTTGCTGGATAAGCAACAAAGTATTTTTCGAAGCAATGGCATCTAACTGTATGGCGTGGGTGGCAAGTTTGGTTCTGAGAATGGTTTGATTACATCCCTTTGTGGTTGGTTGTGACATTTTCTAGAAGAGGGCCTGACAACCTTATATACTTGAGGCTTGTTTTACAACAAATATACTTATTTATTTAACATTTTTGTTTAGGTAAAATAAATATTTACTACAGTGTGAAAAAGTAGAAAGCTGACCCAGTTCCGACTTTAACAGGAGGGAGAAAGAAGGGTGTAAGAATAAGTCGTAAATACAATATCTAAGGCCCAAAATTAAATTTGTTTTTACTTACTTGATGATGTTTGGCATTTCTGGTGTTTCTTACAATAATAATTTGTAAGGTTTTAAACGTATTTCACTCACTCTCACACTTCTAATAAAAGCAGGTTTTTAATTAACATTTATAAGTGTAATCATTCGGAGACAGGGCTCACTGGTCTGTGACCATATCCTTCTCTTTTCTTACGGAGAGAATTCATGTCATCTGTAAATACCAGAGTGTTAAACTGGTGATGGTTAACAAGGTAGACTTCTTTTCCCTCACCAGTGGTGCATTAGCTGGGGACAGTGGTCAGCTTTGCCCCAGCAATTCCCACTCCCAGCCTAGGCTGGGGTTAACTGGCAACTGTTCAGTTCACCCATTGCAGGATTTTGGCAAATTTCTCTGTCTTTTGTTCTCACTCACTATTAATCAATAGTGAGATCTGCTATTGCTTGCGTCACTGTGTGATTAGAAATGGATGACTACTTTTGAGACTGGGAAGACTTTTTGTCTTTTTTTTTTTTTTTTTTAATTAGCACAGTGTGGCTGTGGGTATGTGAACTTTCCTTCCTAAAAGCTGTTCTCTTAAATAAATGTTAGATGATAGAAAAATTGAAAAGCTGAAACAAATGTCTGTAAGAACCTTGAAGAAATGCTGGGAGAAGTGGGACTTCTTTATGGCAAACTAAGTTTATGTTTATAGCGAAAATCAGCTCCCTGTAGACTTCAAGAAGCCCTAGGTAAATGTTTCTCTTTTGGACAGTTTTTAAATATAACATGTTAAAAATAGAGATGAGGCCTTTATAAACAAAACCAGGCCTTCCCTTGCCCCCTGTTTTTAAAAAAACATCCCCCTGAACATTTCTGGTCTTGTCAGTACATCTGGGAGCTGCCAATAATCTCCATCAGGAAATAGATCCACTTTATTGCTTTGAAACACATACTTCAGTTTAGAGACTAGCATTAAGACAAAGTTTTAGAGATGTTTCCCATCACCTCCTGTGTAATCTTTCCTGTTGCTGAGCATTTAATTGCGCTTTTATCTTTCCAGTTGATTCCCTTCTTATCTGTCTGCATTAATATGAGATTCCACAAAAATCAGAATTTCAGAATTTTTCTTTTTTAGTCATACACATCTCAATTATAATCTGAATTTTTCCCTACTAGAATACAAAATAGAATCTATGTGGCGTTGTGATTTAAAGGACAGTACTGGGGGAATTGCAAACTGACATCATGGATAGAGGTATTGACATATGTCTCATGTTAGTTGTATATCCATTTCAAAAAGAATTTAAAAAGAAAACCTTTCATTAAAAAAAAAAAAAACCACCCTCCAAAAATCAAAGCATACCATGACACAACCCTCTGTTGCTGCTAAAAGTGCTCTTTTCCAGTTTCTAGTTTCATTCTATTTTTTTGTGGTTCGTTTTTGTATATGTTCTCTCTCTTTCTCAACTTTGGCAAGTTCTTTGGATTAAAAGCTTCCAGACTGGCATGTGTGTAGACCTCATTGAGAAATGTGTGCGTCCTAATAGCCTGATCTTGCTCCCAGCTGAGTGTCATCTCCCTGTGATTTCATCAAGGCTGGCTGAGGATGCTCAGCTCCTTGAGGGCTCGCTCACCCAGATTTGAGGGAGGATGCAGAGGGAAATTGTGAATGGATGGATAACACAGGGAATGAATGAAGAAGTGGCTTTTTTTTTTTTTTAGTGGTAAATGCACAAGTGCCACAGAGATGATGGCTTTTGGAGTTTTTTCTCCAGGTTTTCACGAACCTTTTAGTTCGTCCTAAAAGTGTGGAGAGGAGGTTGAGGGGGCTGAGGGGCAGAAATGTGTTACATGTATTGGTGTTTCCATTAAAATACTATAAGGCCCATGTGCTCTGAAGCTTATGCCTCTGATCTGTCTGTGTTAATCTTGATATATAGCAGTCCAAAGAGATGATTTTGCCTTGGTGGGTAAAACACCCCGCTGGAGATAGCAGCTAGACAATTTTAAACTGTGCTGAAGACTCCTGATTTTGCTTTTGACCCTTGTTTGTTGTTTGTTTTGTTTTGGGGGGAATGGAAATCTTTCAGCTAACTTGGCTTTAGCGCAAGTGTGTGTTATTTGCAGCTGCTGCAAATAGTTTGCTTTGCCTTTTTATATTTCTTTTTCCCTTGGTCAGAAGACTGTCAGAGGTACAGGACACATCAGCGTTTGAAGTACTTTCTAGTCCCCAAACCAATGGGTGACACAACCTCTCAGGAGAAGGCACCTGTGAGGTGCTGAGCCTTGCCCCGACCCACACAGGAGTAGGGTAGCACCAGGATGGAGGAGTTTCTCCTGCAGCTCTGAGGTCTCTAGCTGCTGGGCCAGCAGCTCCATGAGCAAACTCCATCTGTGTTCTCTGGCTTCTGAGGCACAGAGAAGTTTTCTATCAGTTTTCCTTCTGTATTTCTTTTTTGTTCTTTTCCTCTTTCTGGGCAGTTGGAGAAGTAAAATCTTCTTGACTTGTCAAAGGACATCTGAGGGTCCATCACTTATTTTCAGTTGGTTTGAGACTTGGTAGCTGTTTCGTGATGCCACATCTTTCCCATCCCGTTTCTCCTTCTCAAAAGTTATTTTTTCAGAGCAGTGACTTTGGTGCCAGACTCCTCTGTCTTCCTCCAGCAGCAGCAAAGGTTTTTTTTGCTCAATTTTACTGTTTTTCACGGGGTTCTGGATGGTGACTCTGCTTGTTCCCAGCCTGTAGCCTGGGAAAGTTGTGAGCCAGGACCGTCCTTATCGCTGCCTGTCTGTGGAGTTGAGAGGACAATACTGTAACAGTTCACATGGTTAAAGATATCTCTTCAGTGATAAGAACTAAGAAACAGTGGAGAAAAAAAAATGTATTTGTTGGGATTTTTTTTAAGGGAAAATTAAGGCTTTATCTCTTCTTCTCATTGTTTGACAGCAAGACCTTTATAAGTGCCGGGAATATGTTGGTTCCCCCCCTTTGCTGGTTCTCTCCTATTCTGCCTTAAAAAAACAACAAATGTACCCTTACATTGTAACCAATTTTTAGTGTTATGTATCCTGCTCTCTGGCCTGAATATAGGAGTGATCAGGGTGCAATATAGAGAAATTTAAAATTTTGGAGGGGAGAAGGCAGATTAAATTAAAATACTGAACGTTGTCTATGTCAAAGTGATGGTCTCCTATTAGGCATGTTTTGTTTTATATTCCATATACCTCATGCTAATAAGGTTTATCGAGCTGATAAGTTTTACTGGCATTACCATTTAGGTCACTGAAAACTAAGGAATACTGAGGAGTTATGTCATCTCTGGTGGCTTGCAGAAACACAAGGGTGTAAAATATTTAAGTAAGGCTCCAGGAAAAATCACCCAGGGATTCCAGACGTAATACTTTATTTTCTTTTGCATGGATTCATTTACGCAAACCCGCTCTAGGTTTTTTCCCCGCTCTAAGTTTTTTTCCTTTTTCTTTCAGCCTCACAAAAATGTTAAAACTGCTGCTGAAACTCTCACGAATCTATTTTTGGTCAATCGGTTAAATCAAGAAATATATATTATAGCATATTGGCAAAAAAAGTAAAGTACAGTAGTGACTTTCTGCTCTTTCTGCC